GACCAAAATGGATAACAGAAGAGACTCTGAAGCTTGCCCTTGAGCAGAGAGTAGCTAAAGCAAATGGAAGAAATGACAAGATAAAAGAACTCAACTGAAGATTTCAAAGAGCAGCTAGAGCAGACAAAACCAATTACTGTAATGAAATGTGCAAAAACTTGGAGTTAGAAAACCAAAAGGGAAGAACACGGTTGGTCGGCATTTCTTAGGCTGAAAGAACTGAGGAAAAACTTTAAGCCTCGGGTTGCAATATTGAAAGATTCTATGGACAAAATATTAAATAATGCAGGAAGCATCAAAAGAAGATAGAAGTAATACACAGAGTAACTATACCAAAAACACCTGGTTGGTCTTCATTCATTTCAGGAGGTGGCATATGATCCAGAACCAGTGATGTTGAAGGAAGAAGTTGAGCTGCACTGAAGGAATTGCCAAAGAACAAGGCTCCAGGAATTGACAGAACAGCTATTGAGATGTTTCAACAAACAGATGCCCCCCTGGAGGCACTTACTTGGTTATGCCAAGAGATTTGGAAGACACCTATCTGACCAACTGACTGGAAGAGATCCATATTTGTACCTATTCCAAAGAAAGGTGATCCCACAGAATGTGGAAATTATAGAACAAAATCATTAATACTACACACAAGTAAAATTTTGCTGAAGATAATTTGAAAACGGTTGTAGCAATGTATTTACAGAGAACTTCCGGAGTTGCAAGCCAGATTCAGAAGAGAACATGGAATGAGGGGTATCATTGCTGATGTCAGATTGAAAGCAAAGAATACCAGAAAGATGTTTACTTGTGTTTTATTGACTATGCAAAAGCATTCGACTGGATCATAACAAATTGTGGATAACATTGAGAAGAACGGGAATTCCAGAACACTTAATTATACTCATGAGGAACCTGTACATAGACCAGGAGGCTGTCGTTCTAACAGAACAAGGGAACACTGCGTGGTTTAAAATCAACAAGGGAGTGCTTCAGGGTTGTATCCTTTCATCCTACTTACTCCATCTGTATGCTGTGCAAATAACCCGAGAAGCTGGACTAAAGGAAGAAGAGCGTGGCATCAGGATTGGAGGGAGAGTCATTAACAACCTGTGATACGCTGACGACACAACTCTGCTGCTGAAAGTGAGGGTGACTTGAAGCACTTACTGATGAGGATTTAAGAATACAGTCTGCAGTATGGATTACATCTCAGTATAAAGAAAGCGGAAATCCTCACAACTGAACCCATAAGCAGCATCACAATAATGAAGAAAAGATTGAAGTTGTCAAAGACTTCACATTGCTTGGTTCTACAATTGATGTCTATGGAAGCGGCAGTTGGGACATCAGACGACATATAGCACTGGGCAAGTCTACTGCAAAGGACCTCTTTCAAGTGCTGAGGAGCAAAGATGTCTCCTTGAGGACTAAGGTGCGCCTGACACAAGCCATGATATTTTCAGTCGCCTCATATGCATGTGAGAGCTGGACAATGAATAAGGAAGACCGAAGAAGAGTTGGTGCTTTTGAGTTGTGGTGCTGGTGAAGA